TTTTTATTTCAGTCATTTTAATACTTCAGTTGAAATTCTATTTCGGTTACTTGCCAAGGCAACATGTCTAATTTCTAATTTCATTGAATATTCATATTTTATTGATTTTGAATAGTTTTGGTTCAAGATAAAACTGGACACATTAATTTAGCTTAAATAATCACTAATTTGCATTCCCATGCACATCCACCATGATGTCATATATTATATATGATGCCATAAATTAATTCAAAAATCAATCTAAATTAAATGATAACACAATAAAGATATTAGCAACAAGTTACACTAGGTTATGTTTACTTCATTTGTATCTTTGTTCTACAATTATTAATTGTAACTTGTTTTTTTTTTTGTTCTTTATTGTCTTACTGACCTTTTATTTTTTTTTAATGATGCACTGATTACTTAAGTGACAGGTCAATTTAAATGTCATGTTGATGTTAATACTATTGCACTTTTTTAACAGTATAGCATCATAGCATCCTTAGCTAACTACTTGTTTTAAACATGCAAAACATACCTTCCTTTCCCACCCGAAGCGTTTGGTGTTGTTCCTCACTGGTAAAGACAGCCAACCCTCCAGTCTTGTCTCTGTACAACACACAGAGAAAGACATGTATAATACAACAGAGCAGTTTTATGAAACTACATCAGAGAAAAGCCTGTCAAGGGAAAGCATAAGGTCTACGCAAGTCTTAAGAGGTCAAAAGGTCATGCACTGAACGCCATGCAGATCACCTGTAGGGTCAGGCTCTGCAGTGAGGTGAAGGGTGAAAGATCAAAAGTTGAACTGAGAACCAGACCAAAACTAAGCAGAGAGAAAGGAGGGTGACATGGAACGATGTGAAGAAAACACAAGGTAAGTGAATTAAAAAGAAAAGTTGTGAAAAAGGAAAACAGAATGAAAAGAAGTTTGGAAAAGGACTTCACCGTACCTGGTAGTGACTCGTCAGTGTCCATGTCTGGGCCACTGCTCATACTAGCAGAGTCGAGCGACTGGACGTTAAGAGAGTTCAACAGGCTGTGCAGCTGCTCAATGTCACTATCTTTACTGTCCAGAGCCATCTGCAGCTCGATACGCACCTGAGACTCGTCTGCCAGTTGCTGCAGCAAAAATTAACAAGAGTAAGAAACAAGCATTCTGGCTATATGTCAAGCAGTGTGGAATTCTTCAGACTGATTAGTGGTCCTACCGCTTGCATGTCGTTGATTTCTCTCTGGTATTTGATGATAGTGCTGTTGAGCTTCTCCTTCTCGGAACGCAGCTCCAGCTGCAACTTCCTGTTTTCTTTCTCCTTCCTCCTCACGTCTGTATCATTTCCACGGCGACTTCCACCACCTCTGACCTCCTTTCTGTTCATGATCTCTGCCAGCTTGTTCACTGCCTAGAGTAAAAAGCCAATAAAATTAAGAAAAGGTAGTAACTGAGGCAGTAAATACAAATCAACAAGCTCAATTTGATTCACATCTGCTACAAGGACAACATTATGGTGCACCTGTGTTTTGAGAGTTCTCTCTGACTGAAGCTGTTTCTCAAAGGCAAGTTTCACTTGAGTGATGGACTGCTCTTCATTCTTGAGATTCTGCAGGTCTGAAAATTAAAAATTTTCTCAGTCATCACAGAGACACAAAAAGCCAAATTCAGCCCCTGTGAAATCTGTTATTCAGCTGGAAACCTGTGTACACAAATCTAAAAAATTTAAGTAAAATCTCATTTTAAAATATTTTTTATTTTAAAATGATCAAATTATGTAAAAAGTATATAATATAATATAATATAATATAATGGTTGACGTATTTAGCCACTATCAGTTTAAGATCTGGGTAACTTACAGTCCTGCGTTTCCTTTAGCTTGTTGTTGAGTTCTTCCTTCTCATTGGCCAGGTTTGCCACATCATTCGTCAATGTGCGATTAGCTTCCTCTAACTGTGGAAGGATGGGACAATTAAACCCAACACCATCCAATTTCCTCAAGACTGCTGCAAATCTATAATGTGATTTCTGTAACAGCGGCTAATAGCTGAAGTGTGGTGTAACTCACTGAGGTGATGGTGGTGTCTTTTTCAGCGAGCTCCTGTCTGTGTCTGGCCATCATCTCTTTGATCTCCAGCTCCTTCATGATCTTCTCCTTCTCCAGGTCGGAATACTGCTCCTCCGCAATGGAGCGCGCCAGCTGCTCTGAGTCAGCTTTCGTTAGTGTGATCTCCAACTGGGCCTCAAGAGAATCCCTGAGAATAAGATATGAGAAAAAGGTATACCGAATTTAAACCAACATGTACACAATACATACTTTCAATTTGCAATGTGATAAAAAAAAATAAACTGGTATTTTGACAAAAAAATATATATAATGACATGTAATGAAATTTTTTTTAATTCTGTCATTTAAATTTTAATAATGAAACTGAACACATTTTGCACACTAGGCTATGGTTTTTCTGCTTGTTATTGAATATATATCTCACCTTTCCTCCTGAAGCTCCTGTAGGTTCTGTTGCATGTCTTTATAGAGTTTATTTTTCTCCTCACACTCTTCCTTCAGCTCCCGCACCTGTGTCTTGTACAGCGTCTACACACAAATGCACAGGCGCGCACACACACACATACACAGTCATGTTAGACCTTTGAGTGTTTAGTTTGTTTCTGGAGGGAAAGAGTGTTTAGACTTCTTACAGAGAAATACTGCTCTGCCTCCAACTGATCCTGCAGTTCCTTCATCTGTCCATCAGAATCCTGACGCTCCCTAGGATCACAGAAAATTATCTAATACATGTATAATTATTTCAATGTTTTTGCAAAAACAGAAGAGGTTCTCAATCACAAACTTAAGTTGTGTGTTTGTGAGTAAGGTAATGAATATTCAGTGAGTTCAAATGCATGTGTGGCATACTTGCGCAGTTCCATATTTTGTTTTTCCAGGCTACGTTTGATTTCCAACAGGTCTCTCACGTGAGCCTCCAGCTGCTGCAGCTGTTTTGAGCTCTCTGTTTGAGATTTACGCAGTCGTGCAGCAGCATCAGATTCTGCCCGCAGTAATGCATTTGCCTCATCCAACTGCCGGAGAGAGAAAGAGAGAGTTTATAATGGGGACATGACACTGTTTCAAGGATCACTCTGTTACTTGATCACACATGAGAAAAACACATAGCCACGTGTTGCTCCAGGAAGACTGAAAACTCTACTTTTAAGTAACTGAATGATGCTTTTAACAGATGCTGTATTAATCTAACTTAAGACTATGCGACAAAATGTCACAAGTATAAAATATTCACATAAATGTTTAATTTTCAAACCATTAAAAAAAGACAAATGATAAATAAATATTTAAATATTTATTACATAATACACTTATTTATTATACATATTATATTAATTACAGTTTAAACATTTGGGGTTGTAAGTCTCTTTTACTCACCCAGGCTGGATTTATTTGATCAAAAATACAGTAAAACCAGTAATAGTGAAAAATTATTACAATTTAAAATAACTTTCCTATTTTAATATTTAAATAACTGTCTACTGTATTTTAAAATGTAAATTATTCCTGGGATGGCAAAGCTAAAATTTCAGCTTCCATTATTCCAGTCTTCAGTGTCACATCATCATTCAGTTTTTTCAGGATTCTATGCGAACAGAAAGTTCAAATACCATTTTTTAAATATTTTTAATATCACGTTATAATTGTCTTTACAGGCACTGCACCAAATTCGGGGAATTCCTTCAGCTCGAGGAACCCTCTCGAACATGAATCGAGTGTACGTCTAGAAGCCCGCTTTCGAATGAGACCTCCCCCGCGTCGATAGCCCCTGGGGTTCGGG